TAAGGCTTTCTACTCCCGTAAAGATTTACACCCTTGGAAACCCTGTTACAGGGTCGCTATGGGTCGGAACCGACTCGATGGCACTTAACAACAACAACATCGTAATACATGGAAAAAAGACTGAAGCTGCCAGATACTTCATTTTGCTTGAAGTCACTATCAACACTCATAGAAGCATCAGCCAAGAAATCAAATAGTCAGGGAAAGATGGCAAACGAGGCAGAAGGGCTGTATGGACCCTCTACAACAAAGGTAAGAATAACCAAATGAATCAGATGCAGATGATAGTCTTAGAACTCGGAGTTTCCAATTAACAGATAGAGAAGTGGAGAGAGAGCTTAGCAGACATGACACAAAAAGGAGTGACTGACAGTAGACTGGACCTGCTGCTGCCATCTTGAGCATTGTGAATGACTTCAGAGACAAAACAACAACAACAACACATTTACATTGCAGAAATTTATCAATGTCTCACATGGACAAAGTTATAATTCTTTTTTTCTTGTTCCCCACACACCCATGGTGACCAGAGGTAAGACCAACCTAAATTCACAAACACTCCCAAGGAAGCTCCTGCTCTCCAGAATATTGGAGCCACACAAAGTATGTGCTGCAGTTGTGAGTCCCACAGAAGGAGGATGGAGCTACCTGCAACATTCCTGCTCAGGCAGGCCCTGCTCCAAATACGCAAAGTCCGTCCTAGCTGGTTATGGAAAAAAAAATAAAAGAAAGAAGAGAGACTGATAATCTGCGCTGGCAACAACTCACAATGTCTTGAAAGCAACAGACAATTTCTGTCCACATGAAGAAACAAAACAGAGTGGCACAAACAAATGACCAAGAGGCAGAGCTAGAAAATGTTTTTAAGGAAAAAAAGTCATTAAGACTACCTGAAAAATAATTCAGGGAAATGTTATTTAGATAACTTTAAATGGTTGACAAAAATGTCTATCAAAAAAGAAGGATACTTGACACAGCCGTTGTTGCTGTCAGGTGCCATTGAGTCAATTGTTGTTGTTGTTGTCAGGTGCCATCGAGTCGGAACTGACTCATAGCAACCCCATGCACAGCAGAACGAAACAATGTCCAATCCTGGGCCAAGCCCACCACTGCTGCCACACTTGACACCATCAATGATGCCACCTGGCTGATCCATCTCGTTGGGGGATCTTCCTATTTTTCTCTGACCCTCCATCATACCCAGCATGACATCCTTCTCCAGTGACTGTTCTCTCCTGACAATATGTCCAAAGTATGAGAGACAAAGCTTAGCCATCCTGGCCTCCAAGGAGCACTCTGGCTGCACTTCTTACAAAACAGATCTATTGGTTCTTTTGGCAGTCCATGGCACCCTCAGTATTCTCCTCCAACACCACAACTCAAAGGCATCAATTCTTCTACGATCTTCCTTATTCACTGTCCAGCTTTAGCATCCATATGAAGTTATTGAAAACACCATGGCCTGGTTCAGGCGCACCTTAGTCCTCAAGCTGACATCTCTGTTCTTCAACACTTTAAAAAGTTCCTGTGCAGATTTGCCTAATGCAATACGTCGTCTGATCTCTTGACCGCTGCTTCCATGAGTGTTGATCCAAGAAGAATGAAGTCCTTGACAACTTCAATCTTTTCTCCATTGATAAGAATGTTGTTTATTGGTCCAGTGGTGAGGATATTTGTTTTCTTGACATTGAGGTGTAATCCATATCGAAGGCTGTGCTCTTTGATGTTCATCAGTAAATTTTAAGTCCTCTTTACTTTCAGCAAGCAAGGTTGTATCATCTACATATCACAGGTTGTTAATGAGTCTTCCTCCAATCCTGATGTGTTTTTACTCTGATACCCTCTGCTTTCAGCATCAGCACTGATATCAGCAA